CTTCAGGTCTGAGAAAAAGATGTGTGTCAGGTCTTGCTGGCCCACCTGAAGGACATCACTGGACCCTTGCTGGACTCCCTACAGTTTGCTTAATAATCAGACAGGTCTCAGGATGATGTAGTCAACATGGGACTGCATTATATCCTGCAACATCTGGACAGACCAGCCTTCAGTTCAGCCTTAAACACTATCATCCCAAACCTCCTCCTGTCCAAATTAACTCTGCTCTCTGTGCCTACCTCCAAAGAGTTTTGGGGCTCTCTGATCACTCTCTGGTTCATTATACTGATCTACAGGCAGAAACTGAAATCAGCTAAACCTGTAATAAGGACTTCTGTAACATCATATATGTTTCGGTGAGGATATTTGCATCCCTACCAGGACTCGATTAACTTACAACAACGACAAACCGTGGTTCACTGCAAAACTCAGACTGCTCTCTGTGCCTACCTCCATTTGTCAGTGGATCACCAGCTTTCTGACATACATGCAGCAGCTAGTAAGGCTGGGAAAATTCTCATCCAGCACCTGCACCATCAGCACTGGCGCCCCCCAGGGATGTGCTCTCTCCCCACTTCTTTTCTCCCTCTACACCAATGACTGCACCTCAACTGAACCCTCTGTCAAGCTCCTGAAGTTTGCAGATGACACCACACTTATCTGCTTCATCCAGTACGGAGACGAGTCTGCTTACAGAAAGGAGGTTAAAGAGCTGGCTGTCTGGTGCAGTTATAACAACCTGGAGCTGAACACGCTCAAAACAGTGGAGATGATAGTGGACTTCAGGAGGATCCAAACGCACACCCCCCACTCACCGTCATTCATGAATCACTGGTATAACCCTCCCCACTCTCCAAAAACTGCACTCGTTTAGAGTGAGTAAAGGAGCTGGCAAAATCATTCTGGACCCCTCACACCCAGCACACTTCCTCTTTGAACTGTTGCTGTCTGGCCGGCACTACAGAGCACCAGAACGGCTAGGCATAAGAAATGTTTCTTCCCTCAGGCAATCCATCTCATGAACAGTTAACTTATATATAAATGCAATACATGTGTATAACACAACACTATTTATACATTTATTTATTTAACACACATAACCTCTTTTTACATGTCTTTGCATTTGTACATAACACACCTGTACACACAAATACCATCTATTGTCTACTATTTGTATACTTTTATTTCCTATTTACTTATCCTATTTTTATTATTTTATCTATCTATCTATCTATCTATCTATCTATCTATCTATCTATCTATCTATCGTCTCACCTTACATGCTGGCATGTCATAACACTGTCATTTTGAGCGCTTATTAACACATCATATCATTAATGCGTTATGCAGTATCCACTGTGCACATGATGTCACATGTTCTTTAGTGGCGAGAGCTTTGTAACGTGAAACGTGACTTGTGTTTGCTGTGCCGAGGGACAATTTTGACCAAATAAAATTCAAAACATGCTTTTTGTTCAATAAATTAATTTCTATAAAAGTATAAAAGTCAACAAATCCCCCAGCTCTCAAATTTCTAATTCAGTATAATCCACAATATTGACTGAAAGTCACCGGTTGATTGGATAACAAGGAGACAAGCGTTAACGTGTGGCTCTGTCTCTCTGCTCTCTGGTTTTATAGTCGCAGCGGCGCGTCACGTTTCACCTGCCGGACGGGTCTCAGGAAAGCTGCAGTGACAGTGGGCTGGGGGACCATGAGCCTGTGGGAAGTGGGCTGCTCCTCTCACACCCTCTTCCTCTGGTGCAGGCGCAGGATGAGTTCTACGAGCAGGCCTCTCAGGACAAGAGGACCGAAGCGGACGGCAACTCGGACCCCAACTCTGGTGAGTCTGCTCGTGTTTGCAGTGCAGCTCTAGTTACTCTCCTTCTCTCTTTGTCTCCACTCTTCTCTGAACCTAACAGAGAAGGAGGAGCTCAGCCAGAGAGCAAGATGAATATCACAGAAGATAGTTTTCATTATGCGCCTTCCCACTCAATGCGTACAACAATTTAATGTTCTGCAATAACAGCAATGTAAATACAGTGCTCTCACGATACACAGAATGAACTTTGCACAAGTGAATGCAGTTGTAATAAATAAAAGATGGGTAGAGGCAAAATTGCATAATTATGCGTTCTGGTGCAGAAATGCAGTAGATTAAGAGATTCAGAAGATGTGTGTAATGCTGAAAATAAGCCCTGTCAGCAATGTTTCTTTTACTGTGTTTTTGCTTTACACCTCATAATAACCAGCCACTGCGGGACATTTCCAGCAACAAGTCTTTTTTTTTTTTTTGTTCACACTGAACTCTTGGTGCTGTGTATAATGACAGAAGGCCTGCTATTCAGAATATATTTGGTGTTTAATGTATATTTATGTCAGTCAGTGAGATTCGCTTTAGATGGAGTGAATAGAAAGCAAGCAACTGACAAAATGTCTTGCGACTTCTTTTGTCTGGGTAGGACTGAGTCTGGTTAGTACGTTTCTACCAGTAATAGCAACTGCTTTATAGACGGTACACTGTAAAAATATATATTCCAATCATCGTTGATTGATTGATTTAATTAATTTTTTTTTTAAACAGTGTATAAATGGGTGAATCTTGGATGCCCAGGTTATATGTCACCCCAAAATGAAAAGGAAACTATGCTAAATATTTTGCTTAAAGAAAATTAAGCTTATTTTAGGACCATTTTGAATGTATTTATTTATTTAGTTATTTATTTTCCTGTCAATTACATGAAATTCTCACATTCTAATACAGTACAATATTGATTGAATATTATAATAAAATTGTTTAAAATAAATAGAAATATTTTAATTCAATAAAAAAAA